CAGTTTTTTATTTGTTAAAGTTTGAAATATCCAATAAATTTCGTTCCACTTCATGATTGTGTCCCACTTGTTGTTGATTCTTCACAAAAAATTACAGTTTTATATCTTTGTTTGAAGCCTGAAATGTGGCAAAAGGTTGCAAAGTTCAAGGGGGCCGAATACTTTCGCAAGGCACTGTAGTTACTCTAGATGACATAGCTCCGGCCTCCAGTACTACTGTGAGGAACCTTGGAGTCATTTTTGACCAGGATATGTCCTTTAAATCGCACATGAACCAAGTCTCTAGAACTTCCTTCTTTCACCTGTGCCATATTGCCAAGGGCAGGAGCATTTTGTCCTCGGCTATAAACCAGACGGTGGAGCTTCTTTACACTCTTTATAGAATCATTTACCTAACACGGATATACCATTATTACCTACTCCTTAGCTGTGGTTTTGGCTTCTGGTAGCAGCCTGAGTGCTGCGGTTAGCCAAGCTCCCGGTCTTCTGTTAACACAACATGAGATGTGCAACTATTTACCAACTAGCGTTAACTTAAGTTATGTTTGGCGCCAAGAGTCAATCTCATCTGTGCTCAGGGGGCTCAGTGTCTCATGATCTGTCTTTAGCTGTGCCAAAGGCAAAAGTCAAACCACAGGAGCAGGTTTGTCGCTGGTGACGGCACGGGATGGGCCTCAGCCTGCAGACAGGAAGTGACCCACCAACCAAGTGGGAGGATGGGTCGATGGAGATGAGCAGCTGCTAGTTCTCCAGGCAGAGCTCTACAGCCACACCTCTGACAGGTGTGAACCTACTTCCTTATTGTTGCTACACCTACAGTTTCTGTTCCTCTCCGAGGTTGTGATTCAGGGTTCGGCCATGCCCTGGCGAAGCAGCTCAGTGACATGGGAGTCAAGGTGTTTGCAGGTGTGCTGGATGTGCACGGAGCTGGAGCTCAGCAGCTGAGAGCGCGAGGATGTGCCAACCTGGAGGTGCTGCAGCTGGATGTGACTGACGGCTCCCAGATAGCGGCAGCACACCAGTGCATCCGTGCTCAGGTCAGGGACGCAGGTGAGACTCGGTGCTAACTGCTGACAGCTTCATTTACGATGGCACCATGGGCTGTGGTTCATCAGAACCACAGCCTTATCAGAGCTCCTCACAAGCATCTGAATGCACCAATAAAAACATGTTCTTTATCTTGTGTGTCTGATGGCCCTGCAGGTCTCTGGGGTTTGGTTAATAACGCAGGAATCCTTCACACTGTGGCGGATGCAGAGCTCCACCCGCTGTTGCTCTACAGACGCATCATGGAGGTGAACTTCCTGGGTGCTGTGAACATGTGTCAGGTGTTCCTGCCTCTGCTGAAGAGGTCCAGAGGACGCATCATCAACGTGAGCAGCGTGGCTGGTACATGGCACGGAGGAGACCCACACTCAGTCAGTCCCAGAGCCAAACTGTGTTCACCGTTTAGTTTAAACACTATGACTTAGAAACCAGCGCTGTCCTTTGGGCAGAGCACTCTCAGAATTTTAGCTGAATCCATTTCTAAAGTCTAGGCAGCCACTGTCACTGGGAACTAAGCTTTACTGAAAAACCATTTTGAGATACTGGTACTTTGAAAATATTAACAGCTACTTTATACTTCTACAGTCAGAATGACCGAGTATATAGCACTTTGAACTCCACAGTGTCTATGCATAAACTAAAGTGCATATGAATAATCATTGCATGCTTACATAAAAGTGTGAAATCATGATGTCCACAAGAATATGGAAACGGAAAACAAAAGGAGATCATTACAATTAAAAAAAAATCCATATAAAATCCAACAAGACGAAATCCTAGAGAAGCTCATGATTTTTTTTTAAAGGAGATTTAACAATGAATCTACTGCATTATGTACCAGTGACCAGCTACGTGATTTATAAACAAAACCTTTCACCATCTCATTGAACATGATGCATTATACATGAAACTGAGTAAAGCAGCTAAAAGGAGTGTGTCCTTTTAATAGATCAATGAAGCTGATGACGTATTGAAGAATTAGCAGCTGGGACATTAAAGTCCTTGTGAGAACTTTGACGTGATATTAAATTCACTGATGTCTTTAAGGCTACAGAACAAACGATGAGCAGCAGATTCTTTGGCTGCTCTGCATTAAAATGGTGCCAATAAGCAGCTTCTGTCAAACCTCACATATCAGTGCTTCTTAAAAGCACATGACTCCAATGCAGAGTGCATAAGAGTGCTTCTTAAAAGCACATGACTACAATACAGAGTGCATAACAACAATGTGCACAGATTGTCCATGAGAGCCTGGGCTGACCAATGAATAACAGCTGTTATAATCCAGGCAGCCAGTGCGTCCAGACACCTGCAACTTGGCTTTAGGTTTAAAAATCTTATGTAGTACACGATGTGAGTGCGCAGTGTTGTCGCAGTGACAGCTGATGGTTTGTGCTACAGGCGAGGTGCCCATGCCCTTGTTGGCTGCGTACGGAGCGTCGAAGGCAGCTCTGAGCTCCTTCTCCAAGGCGCTGAGGCTGGAGTTATCTGCATGGGGCGTCAGAGTGGCCGTGATCCAGCCCGGAGGCTTCAAGACAAGTAGGTCTCCTTTCACTGACAGACTGCCGATTACATTGTGTCCAAATTCACACGTATCACCTGACATACACAAGGGAGAAGGGGAACGACAGCATGAAGCATAAACAGGTGCATATTTCTGCACTTCCACCAGCTCCACTGTCTTCTACATGAATATAAAACCATGTCTTCTTCCCTCTCAGATATCTATGGGAACAGTGATGACATCCTCACAGGGATTTCCTCTGAGACCAGAGAGGATTATGGGGAGGAGTACATCTTGTCTCTCGTCAGCAATATGCTCAAAATGTCCCAACAGTTGTCAGAGGATCTGTCTCCTGTGGTGGACGACATGTGTCATGCTCTGCTGGCAGTCCGGCCCAGACCTCTGTACACCCCTGGACCAATGGCATGGCTGCTGCCATTTCTACAGTGCTACTGCCCCACCGCCGTGTTCGACTCTATCATCATGAGGATTCTTAAAAATGACAACTGTGAGCCAGCAGGGCTCAGCAGGCGCTGAGACCAGAACACGTTAATGAGGCAGCTCATTTGGTGCTTCACTTAGTAATTTGTTTCCCCCTTACTTTAACCTATAAGGTTAGGGGGCTCTAAAATGTCCTGAGACTGTTTCTGTGACTAAAGTTGTGGTTCAACCTGTTAATAGTCTATGTACAGTAAATATGATGCTACAGCCATCAGCTGTTAGCTTAGTGTAGATCAACATATTACCTCTCATTTGTCTTCATATTTAACAGAGAGGAAACAAAGCTAATGTTTACCAAGTGTCAAACTGCTGTTTTAGAGGCTGTTTGATCTGACACATGACAAACACATGGATACACTCAACTCTGCTTTTAATAAAAGTCTCATCCAGGCTGTAAAAACATTGCCTGTTCACAGCCCAGCTGTTTTTAAAAGCCAGGATGTATAACATCCAGTCATCCTTAAAACACTGTACACGCTGCTCTACAACCATCACTGGTCAGCACCACATAGAGTTTCTGCAAACACAGCTGGTAAAAAAAAAAAGGTCTGGAGTCATTTACACAAAAATACACATTTCTGAAGTCCATCACACCATGGCCTCAGTCCTGAGGTTTCAGAAAGACTTTCTTTGAATCTGCAGCATTTTGGTTCACATCGTCCTCGTTGAACGCCGCTCGCTCACGCTTCTTTGCAAACTTTCTCTTCATGCTTCCCACTAAACTCTCGTACCTGATAAAGACAAAACAGACACTGAGAAACAGAGAACAAGAGCAAATGGAGCAGCACAGCAGATCATCCTGTTAGAGATGCCTCTGATCCAGTTATTGTGACTTTACAGCAAAGACATTATCACAACACAGTAATACTATAGGATAGAAAACTTATAGTACACAAGTATCAGCATCAAAATATACTTTAAGTGCCAAAAGTAAACATACTCATTGTGCTAAACACTGAAGCTTCTGTGGTGGTGTTCTATTCTAAACATTATGTACATGACATTTTATTTTCTCAAGCAAGTGAAACAAAAATTTCGGTTTGTTACTGAAATCAGGGTTCAAAAAATAAAACTTAATTGTAAGAAAATAAAAACGAATTAAATTTTCTTTAAAACAGGCTGAGACGTTCTTACAGCAGTGGAATATTTCCTTAACCCATTATATTGTTTGAATATATTTTGTATTTATCTGAATTTTTAAAGCAACTGCAGCTGTGAGATTAATATAGGGGAAGACTAAAGTAGCAGGAAATGGAAATACTCTAGTGAAGTGGCTCTAAATTCTACCACAGTACTGATTAAATGTACTAGTTTAATGCTAATGTTCCATCTGATGAGAATTTAAACGCTGATCCTGTAAAAGTGTAAAACTGATCATGTGACCTGCACATAATGGGCGTCACTCAGTTCGTACCTCAGAGCCATTTCTTCATCGGTGATGTCTGTCTGCATGTGGCTGAGCTCTTCCTCCTCTTCCTGTTTCTCCTCCTCATCTTTAGGATTCATCACAGCCATCAGCTTCTGTGGCCAACAATGAAACCGTCAACAGGCCCACGTTCAAATGAAATGAGCTGACTGTTAGTCACAGCTGCTTCATGAGAATGAGAGGTTGAAATTTGTATCCACAATCAGTTGCATTCAGTGGTGCAGAGGTAGTGAGTGGCCAAATCAAATTCGAGTGTGACACCTCTGACAGTATCAAACAACACTGGTGAATAAATACATGTATCTACGTCTCCAGATGGAGACGCTAAAGGAATATTTCTATACAGGGCTTAAAATGACCAATCTTTAGCCACTTCTATACCGTGTTTATGAACAACATGACTGATTACATGACTTAGTGACAGGGGAGCAGACCCACAGCTGCTGCTGAGCAAAGACTCAACCGCAGGAGCTGAGACCTGACAGGTAAAAGTTGAGACAAACCTCGACTTCTGGGTTGAAACCCCCGAACGACATGCGACCGTACTTCAAGTCTTCACAGGGAACAAAGCTCTTCTCCTCTATGATGAGGTTCCTGAGAGGAGCAGAGACTAAGAGTAGTGTAGTACAATTCAACAGCAGCACAGACATGTAATATGAACAGAAATTTGAACCAGCACCTCTAAAACATCATGGAGGTCACTGCAGCAGTGAGCATTCATTGTAATAACTGGACCACTATCAATGTAGTAAACTGAATACAACCTGCCCCTTTAAAACTGAACCACACTTTGTCTCAACATAATTAATTTCACACGTTTTGGTTTTCTGCCTCATTTCTGTCTAAAACACTTTCATGCCAGACTCCATTTAACCAACTGTATAATGTATAATTTCTTGCTGTGGCTTCTTACTCTTCCATTATTAGATTAAAAGTGACTGGTGGGCTATATTCATTTTGAAATTATCTGTGGACCTTCCTGTTCACAAAAAAACTAAAATTTAAATGTTACTAGCTGTGTTTGTTTGCCACTCATTAATTTTAAACTGGCAGATTTCTGAGTGGAGTTCCGTATGAAATTCTCAGATACATGGTACTGTGACTGAAGAACTTGATACTTACTCTTTAGCCTTTAGCTCTGGCAGGTCTAGACACCAATGTTCATCACTTATAATCCTCTTCTCGTCTTCTTCCAGCTGCTTCTTCGTCTCAGCATCCAGACCTCTCTGCATGAACTGTCACCAAAAAAGACCGTTAACGTTACAGTTAAGACAAGAGTCAGAGATAGTATATCTTGTCTGTCATGAACTAAAAAGCCCTTTTGTAGATCAGTTATATACCGAATGAATTACTTGTTCAAACTTTACATAAAAACATCTTAAGTCTACACTTACAATGAAATAATGCTTTCAGTATAACGGGGAATCAATAATTTGTCTGATTTCTGAACGACATTCGGCGCGGTGTTAGCTAACTTTCTGATGTAGTTAACACAAACAGTTGCTAACTTTTCTCATTTGTTAGCGAACACTGCTTCACTTACCTTCATGCGCAGGAGGTTTTTGGAGAGTTTCACAGAGTCGTTCGCCATTATTAACCGGTTTAAAGAAAATTAACTACGTTTGTTTGTTCTGTCACTAAACACTGGGCTAAAAGCACGACACTGGGTCCATGCAACCATCGACTGCGATCACTCAGACAGAAGCAGTAGAACGTCGAGCAGTTTTATCAGCAGTTAGCAGTCCAGGTAATCTGTCTCTGATATCATTGATGCTCGAAAAGACAACTTCATTTTCATGTTGAAAAATGACATTTATACCATGTTTTCAAATCTATATGATGTTTTCTATTTTTGTAACATTTTCAAGAGACTTATAGGCTATAACGTAGGCCTATTTACAAATGCTAATTATAAACACGTTTTATAAAAATATGTTTTTCTTTATCATTATGGGTTATTGAGTGTACATCTATGGGCAAAAATAAAGGCTGAAAAGTTGAAGGGCTCTGAATACTTTCTGAAGCCTGCTCCTGTCCAGATTTTAATTTACGTTTGAATGCCTGTGGGAGAGTTTATTCCCTATTAGACAAGTCTGAATAACAGACCCACAGAACTTCACTGGTGAGATCTGGTGACTAAATCAAGGGTCTCACTAAACGTGTCAACATACATTTTGGGAAAATGCATATACATCAATGTACAGTATGAAACATCTATAGTATTTCCATTTAATGCAACAGTGCAGGCATGGAAAATATTTTACTAAACAGTATACAGCTTTGATATATAATTAGTACAAGCTGATACAGAATATAAATAATACTGTGACACAAAGTGAAATTGGATGATTTTAACAAATTTTAAAAAATACTTGAGGAGATAAGGGAAACCAGCCTATGTTGATGAGTTTTAAGGCACCTCAATGCCAACACATAACATGTCCCAAATAGAATGAAGTGAAGTAAATTCTGGTAAGTTCAGGGTTTTGAGCAGTTCCACCCTCACGTTGCTGAAATGCAGTTGGTGTGTTGACCAATCTGTGTTAACATGTAGCAGCAGGTTCCTCTGCACAGACAACAGCACAGATTCACTTTGTTTGATACACAGAGCAAAAAAAAACGCAGCTGAAAAATATTATCCAACGAAGAACAATGGATCTGTAGCAGGCCTGCGTAGTCTGTGTCTTCAGTCATGACTCTATTTGCTGTGGTTTGATGAGCCCAGTCTCTCCAGAAGCCTGACTACAACAGAGTAAGCTATGATTAATGATGAAAATCATTGTTACTTGAAGCCATGAAGCAACCAGGCTATTTATACCTTTGTTTTAATTTTCCTAGCGTCATGGCTGCTTTTCTGCAGTGCTAGCAGTGTCAGCACTGTATAAAGGCTCCAGAATGGCTGTGTTTTATAGATTCAAATTCAGACTGTGGCTCACACAGAACTGAGGCTGTAATGCAGGCTACATGAAACTGTGCTGAAGACTCTGCTGTGGTTCACAATACAAACACAAGGTCTTATGCATACATATTTAATCTGTGTGTTTGACGATGCAGGCTGCAGGACACATTTTCCACTCTGGCTTGTCAGAAAACAGGTTTTCATTTTTGTATCATAAATGGAATTAAAGACAAGGATATCAGACTCAGAATCAGAATAGGCTTTATTGTCATTGCATGAGGGGGTACAAAAAAAAGTGGGTACTCTACTCAAACAACAGGGCACCGTAGAACTTGAAAATACAAAGTACAAGAAATATACAATTTGGGGGTGCTACTGCAAATATTGTCTTGGGGGTAGTCGAGGCTCCCAGCTTTAGCCTTGTACCACTGCTCCAGTCTCTGGTAGTTGGGGTCGTTGGTCAGAGCCATGGCGGTGGCAGCAGCGCCTGGTTTTGCTCCTGCTAGTGTGAGTGTGGTGCTGCAGAGGAGCGGATGAAGAGATGGAGCCGCTACATGGACGGAGGTGGGTAGAGCAGCCGGCACCAATACCAGCCGAGGCCTCACTCTGCCCCACGGCCCTCAGTCTCATCTCTTTTTAGTCACTTTACGTCTCTATAGTTGTTTTACATCAGATTTTTTTCTCGTTTTGTGGCTTTTTGCATTCATGGTGTGGTCTTTTGACTGACCTTCCAACAAAGGTTAAGACTAACTTTGCAGTTCTCTGGCCCCCTGCCCCCTTGAGGCATTCAGTAATCTGTGGATGGTCTGTGTGCATGGCAGTAGTGCCAGTAATGGACACTGCATCTAATACTATGCCTTAAACCTCAATTCCAGTTTTTTATTCACATTCCAACTTTTTGTGTTGATGCTTCACATTCATGTTTATTAGAATGCATCCACATCCAGCTGTAGTTTCCCTCCCGGTGCCTCAAGCCTGATGTGTTGTGAACAAGGGCAAACTGCTGCTGCCAACATTTAGTGAACAAACTTGCAGGTATTGTTTCAGAACAGTTTCATATGAGCCTATAGGGCCGATGCTGCAGCCTGAGGAACAACAGAGAGGAGACAGGGGCCAACACAAACTACTAAACAACTGTTTATTGTTTGCTCTTAATAAAAACCCAGCTCCCATAGAGGAGGCTGCCCATGCTGGGCTGAGACACAAACCTGTGGCTGTGCCTCTACAGCGTGTTAAAGGAAGCCAGAAGCAAAAAGCAGACGTCTGTTTTCCACCTCCTGATGTTCAACCCACCACATTTCAGTTACCATGTGGCTTTTGTTTACCAGCATCAGCTGGTGGTGTGTGTGTTTTAATACATCAGTCAGATCCTGATGTGAGAGACCAAATGGCTTCCTTTAAGTATCAAGGCACACAGCCGCCCTCCCCTCCCCTCCCCTCCAGCAGTCTTTCCACACAGACAGTTGCTCTCGCAGGAACCTCCAATGTGCTGTAAATTCTAACAAAACATGGAAAATGTGGGTTTACTGCCAAAAGGCAGGGCCAGATTAACAGCCACCCCACCAACTCTACTTCGCCCAGGCCGCGGCTCCATTAGCATTTAGCTTGTGGTAACAAAGTGTCAAACTGTTCACTTACTCCCATCTTTTCAGTTCATCGTGGTCTTATTAGTGTTTACAGTATTATTAAACAATTAATTATCACAAACTAATTCCCTCATTAAACCCTGCAGCTTTCAGGATCTGGTTGACAACCCGGCTCTTGCCTGAAGCCTCTGCCATGTTCGATGTATTTAAACAGAAGCTTAGTTAATGCAGACTTGTCTGCAGTCCTTTGCCTTGCAGCTGCAGCTGAGGCACACTCCATGAATCACCAAAGTGTTTCCCAGCAAAAAAACAAAAACACTGTCCTGGGTCAGGTACCAAATGACTTTGGACACAGACACAGCAGTAGCGCATGTTTCCGAGCTGCATGGAGTCCGACGAAACCCGTCATGAGTTTGAATTTATGTGAAAACATCATGAAGTAGAATCACAGACGTTTATAATGCTCAATAACAGAGCAACTTAAAAACACATTACATCCATCAGTTAAATCCAAATGATGCATTAAAAACCACCAAAGTTAAAAAAAAAGTCCTATACAGATCATAAAATTTTCCACTTCTGGTTTTAAATGAACTGATTTGACTGTAAAACCAATTTTAGGATGGCTTTGAAACTGTACCTTTAATCTCGTCATTCATTTCCTGCTTTGGCAGTTTCAGTTTCCACATTTAATGTGAGAAGTTAGTTTTGACATCAAATACAGAAGCTTTTTAAATGTAATTTTGCAATTTGCATTCTGAAAATCGCTTTCCAATTCGTCACTAAAAGCCAAAGCTCAAAACACTGATCTTTTCTTTTACTTTGGGCTTTCTAATGCATCCCTGGTAACGTTTGTGTGACAGACCCCATGTCCATCCGTCTGCGGGTCTCTCAGAGCCCCCATTAGTGTTTTCAAGCATCAGATTCTACAGCAATGAGAAAACATCTGTTTATTTATGTGGGCTTCAGTTCCACAGCAGTGTGCGATAGTCTCAAACCTGGTCTCCCACCAGAAGCCTCTAATCACTGATGCACCCTCAGCAGTACAAATAGGTCTCTCTGCTTCCTCAGCACCATCATGTACTTTAAAGGGAGCTTTGCTTGTCAGGGTGACATCTTTTAACAATAAGCTGTTGTTCTGGAGTCAAAGCCACAAAGCAAACAGTTGGAAGAAGAAGAAAAAAAAAAAAGACCTTTAGAGGAGCAGACCTGGGTCAATAAATATCTTCCTTTTGTAGATTTTACACAGGCATTACAGGAACTAAGTCTGCCTGATTTTCTGTGATGGAAAATGGAACAGAAACAAAGTCTGACCCAAGTCTGTGAACAGTAATATTCCTGAAATCAACTCCATTTTAAACTATAGTTTTTATTAGCCCGTTAACCCTGGGGGTGTCAGCCATCATGACATTACAGAGTCTCTGTCAGCAGAATATAATGTCAGAACACAGCTTTATGTCCTGAAAACTCTTTACATCTCCTGATAAATCAGAACATGCCAGGTCGGGATGACGTCCCACTGTTCAGTCACAAGTCATCACACCCGATTCCTTCCTCAGAAATAAGTATGCATATTGCTAGGAAACTATGTTGCTACACCCAGACAGCTAGCTTGTTTGTCTAGTGTTAGTCGACCTCACGTCCTGTAGCTTCAGCAGGCTGTCAGCCACCATGCGGTGTGAAGGGACATGGTTTGTGGTTGTTTTTTTTTTAAGTCTTTACGGAGAAGGTGGAGTTTTACTGTAAACACAATGAGACCAGGTGAGGCGGTGGCCTGCGTTTAAAGTCAGAAGATGCTAAATTCATAGCAGTATAAATTAGTATGCGTCTCAGGAAGCAGTCGACTAAATGTGCATAATGCATGAAGAGAAATATTTTAAACAGCTATTGAACATTTAAAATGCCTAAACTGAAAACAATAGTGACACCATTTTATATGCTTTTCCTTTTTACATCTGCATTTAACGTGTGAGCATGCTTCCAGAAATAATTACAAATATTTAGACTTTTTTCTTTAGTAAGTGGGAAAACCCAATTAACACATTTCAGTGTCCAGCAGCAAAAAAACATTAAGTACAATTACAAGATTATGTCTTTATTAACACTTAATACATCATCTCTTTGGAGCATTACGTCCTCATGACAACCAATCACTGGGCTTGTAGCGGGACTGTGCTGCCCTCTGCTGGACAACCTTGAACTACAACACTCACTTTAGCTGTGTTGTGACCGTTTTAATGCAGCGTCACAGCGATTCATTTAGTTATTAAAGGAAAAGATAACTGTTCTTTAAACATTTTTTCAATATTGGTCAATAAGATGATTTCCCCATTAATCAACTTAACATTTAGACTATAAAAATGTTTTAATCAACTTCATAGATCTGAACGTGGCATCAAATGTCTTGTTCTGTCTGAACAAAAGCCCACATATATGAACATATTTAGTCACCAGTGATATTTGGCAAAAGAGATGCTCTCATTTCAGAGCCTGGAATCAGGAAATATCACTTCTTTATATTTACTTGAAAAATGAAATGATTCAATTGATTATCAAAACGGTTTCAGATAATTTTTCTGTCACTTGCTTAATAAACGGACTAGTTAACAATGTGTATTACGTCACTAGATTTGTTTTCGTTTAGGCTTTTTAAACCTTCCATATGCATCTGTCCTATCAACTATAAGCAAAAGCCAGTAAATATAGACATCAGCCCTCGTCTGTGTACATTCCACCACAGCTCTAACCTCAAAATTCAAGTTACGTGATCACCAGTGAGTGAAGAAAAGCACAGAAAAATACATGGAAAAAAACAAAAATAAAGCAACTGCAGTTTGACCTATGATCCATCTGCACCCCAGACTGAGTTAGCTTGTGGTTTTGAACTGAAAATTTGCATGACAACCAGGAGTACAGGCGAACGGCTACCACCAGCTCCAGAGTGGCAGAACCAGAGCTGCAGCTAACAACTATTAATCTCAATTAATCTGACGGATACTTTCTCAATTCACCAATTATTCATTTGGGCTACAGAAAACAGTGAATAAGGTTTATCACACTGTCCTACAGCACTAAATGATGTCAGTGAGCTCCTTGCTTTGTCTGACCAACAGTCCACAATCCAGTAATATTCAATTTAGCCTGAGACCAGGAATGCAGCAGATTCTCACATTTAAAAGCCTAGAACCACTAGTTTGGACATTTCTGCTCGTTTTCTAAATGTTTTAATGATTAATCAATTAAGAAAATTGTTTCAGATTAATCTTCTTGCAGCTCTAGAAGAAACTTCTTCAACAACAGTGAAGATCAACTGAAAAAGACAAAGCTGCAGGCGATTTGAAACTCATGAGCACTGAGACATTGGAGCTGAGACTGAGCAGGCTGACGCAGTAGCAGGATGAAAGTCTATGTAAGAGTAGAAAAATACATGTTAGAAAGGTGCGACTGCGATGCTGTGGCTGTGTATTTTGGTGCAGAATTACAGGATATCTCGTACCCACCACCCAGATAAAGCTATGCCAGTGAGCATCACAGTAACTTGACTGCTAACAAAATCTTATCAAATACAGGAAAGGGGCCGGGCAGAAAACGCATCAAACAACGACATTTATACACAATTATTTCAGCCACCTGGAAATTATTTGTCATATCTGAACTTTTGTTTTAAAATGTTTTTTTTTTTCTGATAATCTGCGCTGTTGTTGCCTCCACCGGTGAAAGGTATGGAAAGTCGCGTTGCATTTGAGCTCTACCCCAGTGCTGGTGACAAATATACAACTAGTAGACAATCTTCATTATTTAGTCAACAAAATAGAAACCCAACTATCTGTTTTCCACTGAAGTGTGAAGAAGTTCCACCTTTCTTCTCCCACCAGGACTATGCTGCCACTTTGTTGTCCTTCTGCAAGACATGAAGAAGAAACAGACACAAAGCATTACCATTCAGTCTTTTATGCATCATATACTCCAACAGTTCAACTTTTTTCTCAAGGGGAAACATGGTAGGCAGAACATTAAAGTGACTTTTTACAGTGTTTACAATGAAAATGTTATTGTAAAAACCAGGTGATAGACGCAGCCAAATGCCTGTAACCTTTCAGTCAACACATGAACCAGAAGGTCCAGTTTTGACACTGCACCCGTAATTAAAACACGATGTCGATGCTTGAGACCTGCGCTCGGCGGCCGTTCCCTTAGCGGGGACGTGCACCTATGCTCTGCGGCCGTTCCCTCAGCAGGGACGCGCGCAGCCCGTGGCTGTCGGACACTTTCTAGCCCCGTTTACAAGAAGCACAGCCGCCGTCAACGCTGCTCTGTCCGAGGCCACACTGACCTTCTCCTGTACGTCCAACTTCCATGATGTATTGTCCGTACTCACTACTGGCTGCTGTCCAGCGTGATCCACTGACGCCTACGTTGATGTCCGAGTAACGCCCTAGTGGCTGGACGCGAGTTGACAGGTCAAAGGTCGCACCACCGGCCTTCACAATAAATGCATCGGTTATTAAAGCTTGATAAAATTATGTGTAAAATAAGCTACACCTTTATTTTCTTTAATTTAAATGATTTCACTGGCTACCCGCCCGCATTTAGTCTAGTTTTTAACCTGTGAATTAATATAAACATGTTTTATATGTTACACAGTAGTTTTGTGGGTACGTGGACTCAAACTTGTACATTTTAGAAACTCAACCAATTGATTGAGTAAATAACTGACAGGTTAACCAGTGGTGAAAATAGTTTGTTGTACCCTATAGAAGTATTTTACTTTTACCAGAGAAACTCCAGTAGTTTCTTTAGTATTTGTCATAAAGTCGTCACAGCAGCAGCTGCTATGTGCAGTGTCCCCATGGACATACAGACAACTGTCACTGGATCACTGAGGCTGAACAAAAGCTAAAGATGTGAAAGCATTCATTTCTTGAAGAAAGTGGTGATAAACTTTTCAGGTGTTTATATTAATGTTGTGAAATCAACCAATAATCAAAGTATCAATAGATGATCATTTACCCTGTATGCTGAAAGGTCAGCAAACTCCCTGCCAGCCTGGTTTCCTCTGTATCCTCCTCTGAAGCCGCCGCCCACCTGTGGTGGCCCGAAGGACCCTCGGCTAGCTGGACGACCCCGACCTCCACGGAAGCCCATACCGCCACGTCTGTGGTAACCTCCACGGCCTCGGCTCTGACGCAGGGGGATGCCAAATGTTTCGGCATTCATCCTCCTCTCCTCCGCCCAGGTCTGCCTCCGCTCCCTGAGGACAAAATGGCATCCATCTGTTATCAGCTGCTTATCCGGGGTCGAGTCACAGTGGCAGCAGGTTGAGCACGGTGCTCCAGCTTTTTCTGGGGGACCCCGAGGCATTCCCAGGCTAGATCAGGGTCTATCCCAGGGCCTCCCACCAGTCGGACATGCCCCTCCAATGAAAAACCACTCGTTTCCAACCCTTTTCTAGATCAAGTCACCCAGAGAAGCAAAACCATGTGTTTACGGTGTGCAGAGGAACCCAGTCAGTCAATAATGCTGAATTAAATGTGCCAAAGAATGGGAGAGCGTTCCTATGGAAGCTCAGTGTAAGAGATAAATGATGTTCACCCATCATTTGGCCCCAAAGAGGGTGTGTCATTAATCTTCAGAGCCCCACAGTAAGCAACCCCGTTTTCTAGACCTAACCAGCCCTTAACACAAAGCATCCTAAACCCTGTCCGCACTCAAGCAAAGAGCAGATATGCAGCTTGACACACAACATCTGCATTGTATTTGCTCAGCTTAAGCAGTGGCTGGTCCAGCTGGCTTGTAGTGGCTGTGACCTCAGAGCCGGGTCCACTCAGCTGTCCAGCCACTGACACTGTTCTACCAAGACTGTCTAACAGAAGACTTAACAATTCCAGTGAGCCAGTAGCTTTGTTATCACCAACACCAGTTCTGTGTGGGTGTAGGAGTGAAGGCAGGTCTACAGGGTCATCAGGTGGGCGCCCTTCTCACTAACTGGTGTTTCACCGAACAGGGCCCACAGCACCGAGAAGACTCAGTGTGTTCTGGTGTCCCAGACCCGTGATTTTTGGACAAAAAAGAAGTACAACGTCTCTTGGGATCACAAGGGTAGTTACATCGCCTTGGGGCAGAAACGTTTTGATTCACCACAGTTAGATGAAAATGTCCAATAGGAATAAAACTGTGGCGTAGAGTCGTTACTCTTCCACTGTGGCCATTTTAAAAGAGCCTTGCACTTTCACTACAGTCACAGAATTACTTTTTTCCCCCAACGCCGTAAAATGTCCCAAACAGTGTGCATCTCGATCACAACAAACCTCTGCAATCTGTTTCAGTCGGTTATAACTGCTGTAAATGAACTGCTGCGGTTAGAACCCGTGATCAGCTACTCACCGTGGGAAGCTGGAGCCTCCAGACTTGTCATTTGCTTTCCTGGAGAGGAACAGACAACACATCACATTAGCATATGGACACATATTTCGTTTATTTTGACAGTGATGGCAACATCTGTGAAATGAAGAGTACGGCTACGTCTCAGTTTGTCCTTCTACCTCTCGTGATCTGTTCACTGTCAGCATTCTTCTTCTCCAACACTACAATCCTGAGGATTTAACAGTGCCAGGCACAAAAGAGGGCTCCTACCTGGTATCATCACAGGAGATGTTGTCAAAAAAGGACTTGGACTTGTCATAGTAGCAGTTGGGGCCAAGTGGATCACACTCGTCGTCAGCGTTGCCCTCGCTGTTATGAGTTTCCACGCCAGAGTCGCCTTTATCCTCTCCGTTCACTGCCTTCTCTGACTTATCAGTCTTCTCATCTGAAGAGAGCAATTGACAGTCACACTTGTGCCACGACCCTCGGCCTAGCAGTCCTTTCAGGTTTATTTAGACAAGTGCTGCACTTGGGCACAAATATTTGTGCTTGAACAGTGCATGTAGGGCTGCAACTAAGGATTATTTTAACTGCTCGTTACTTTCTAAATTTATTGTTTGGTGTATATATTGGCGAAATACACCTGTCGTCACAGTTTTCTGCAGCCTCGGCCGGAGTCTACAGAGGTCTTGTTTTGTCTGACCAGCAGTCCAAAATCCAAAGATATTCAGTTCGCAAATGCAGACGACATAAGAAACCTGAGGATACTCACATCTGAGAATTTTTTTTTTTTTTTTTTTTTTTAAAAGGCTTTATCAAAAATCCTGGTAAACTTCCTTTTGATGGAAATAATTTGATTCCACTACATTTCTTTGACGTCAGTTCTTTTACAGCTCAAACTTTAATGATTAAAGTTTCCTTGAGAATAAACAACTGGACAAATGACACATTTGATTTGTAAGTTGAGTGTTAAAAGCCACAGCTGTAGCAAACATGGAAGAAAGGTTAATTTACAGTGTCTGTTGGGTGGGACTTAGCTTCAAGACCGACCTGTCCAGCAGGTACTTGGCAGCATCAAGTGGTCAGCAAATCCAGCGGATGCCACTTTTGCATATATCACTAACTACTATGTAAAATGCTGTTTACACATGACTGAGTAAGGTCAGTCCATTAACACTTATAAAACACTCCTCACTGCAGTTGTTTTTCCTGCATAGTTAGTGCTGTTTGTTTCAACACAGTTTTTACTTACTTGTGACAGTATCCCCACAATGTAGTATTTGCCATTTTCTGAATACCCCTCCCACAACAGAAGCTTAGAGCAGAGCCATCCGAAAACTGTTAAGCATTCCTGGGGCTGCCAACAGTTCAAAAATACTGAGAAAAGTGTAAAATCCTCAAATTAGAGAAGCCAATTTTTATTCAACAAAATGACTGGAATGATAACTTCATTATTTAAACTGTTGGCATCCACTTCCTTTATCAGCTTTACTAGAAATGTCCTCTGTTCCGAGTTATGCTGATACCTTTCAACTTCAGCTTGCTCTGAAACTCTCTGTCAATCTCGTCCTTGTTGAACTGGGCGTTGGCGCTCTCAAAATCAAAGTCTTTCTCAAACTTCATGGGTCCATCTCGGCGAACATTGAAGCGCCCTCTGCCGCGGTGTCCACCCCCACGCCCCCGACGGTTAGCCGGCGCACCGGCAGCTGCTACAATACAGAAGAAAAGACTGGATTAGTTGTCATTTCAAAAAGTGCTGAAGAAAACCGGCAAACCAAAGAAAAAACACTGAGTTGTCAGGCCTCAAAATGAGAGGCAATGTCATAAAACAGCTTCACTTCAGACGTTAGCTTTACACAGGTCTGCTACAGAAATGCAGCAAAACATTCAGTTACCGTATTTTCCGGACTACAAGTCACACTTTTTGTCATCTGGCTGGTTCTGAGCCTTTCTGTATAGTCCAGTGATTTATATTCACGTTCTAGTTCAGCCACCAGATGGAACCATTTACGCTCACAACTCAGTTGAAGATTATTGTGTACCATCAAAAAAGAGCTACACTGAGCATTATAAATGAGGCCATTGAAAAAACAAACAAGCAGCAAAAAGTGTAGCATGAGTGAAAAACCTGCCTGGGGCTGCCGCACATCAGAGGCTTAACGACATGGGAAAATATAAGAAAGCTAATCCGGGTCTGGAAAGCTCGAGAGCCTGAACTGGACAAACAGCAGCTACACCTCCACACCCAGTAATTACCTGGGCATGGAGATGTGTAAGTCACAGTTAACACACTGAAGAGACTTGTACATTTTGTCCACTGAAGAACATCTTTTGCTAAGTGCGACTAATACTCCGAAAAGTACGGTGCTCATCATCAGCACAACCACAATACAGCTCGCATTCTCAGACTGAGCATGAAAGCACCGTCAAGCATCATCGCCTCGAGTGTGTTGACAGCATGTCAACCTCCACACTAGCAAAAAATAAACAAAAAAAACATGTCAAACAGGGATGGCCAGGGTCGAGTGACTAGAGAGGATGAGCGTATGGTTTCACTGTCCAACAGGAGAATCTGACAAGCATGCAGTGTCTGAATGGGCTGTTGAAGATGATTTCAGGGCAGAGAGGGAGTTTGACCTGTGGCACGTTTACTGGTATCCCTGCCTTCACCTCGCGCCTGCTCAGAGTCTGGTTTGGGAACTTTCTGGACGTCTGTGCCTGGAACAGCAGAGTCTTTTAGTCTTCCAAAACAACATCAGCAGTCACGAGAAAACAGCCCTGACAGCAAAAGTCTCCTACCTTCAGACAAAGTCACAATGGTTTGAAATGTGGGACCTCTGGAACAAAGTGTTAAAATCACACAGAGTGCAAGTCATTCGTTACTACATGACTATGGAGTTTTATATTTGTGTCTCATTCGTGAACACGCAACAAGTCGTACTGCACCATAGTAATTGTATTTTGTAAAGAAATCAAGATCAAGCAAAGAAAAAAAGTTAGAACAAGCACATCTAGTTGTCCTCAAAAATGCATTAGCGCGTTTGCTATTACTCACATAAGCACACAATGATAATCTCCTTCACTTATGCACATTTTATAAGCAAACAGTGATCAGTCAGTTGACCATAAAAAAAAATTTGATTCAACTCAGTTTAGATGCAGATTTTCTAGTATCCTTTGCACTTGAGCAACTGAAGTTTTCATTTATTTAATAACTATTCAAAAATAAAGAAAAATCGATAAATATAGTTGGCAAATTTTACTGCTGATTATTTGGGTCAGGTCACGTAGTTGAGCGAGACGGCACTGGGTGAGTTTGTCACTGAGATGAGTCACAACATGGTGAACATGGCATCAGAGAGACATGGACGGCCGATGTTTAAGAGCTCATTATATCATAAACTGAAAAAAGAAGATATGCAGATTTGATCTGTGGTGGCACAGGAGCGCGTCGGTAGTGCATGAGCACCCGAGGAGAGACAGGGGCATCAGAAGCAGCTAGGTCTGCCATGTCAACTTCACACATTGTGAAGAAACTGATGCCAAGTTTACAAGTTACGAAGTCATTCTTTAAAGGTCGTATGCTTATGTGAATAGTTTTGTAAAGGACAAAATAGACTGGCCTGCTCAAATCAAATTATTCTGTGCATGACAGTGCTCTCTCTAAAAAAATGTGAGCTACATGATTGTAAAAACCTTTGTGCTCAACAGTGCTGCATGATCAGGACAGCAGTGCAAATATAACAAGATCATACCAGTGTGCTGGTCTCTGAGGTCTCACCTGAGTGGCTAAAGACAGAGTGGGTAAGCCCTGCAGTGGAAGCCCTATCTACAGCAGTGATGTGAGAGGCGAGGATGGTTCGGGGTGCAGACCAGCCCTGGCTGCTGCGGCCTCCCCTGACAGTCTCACCCCTCCTCGTGTCCGTAGCATCCTGCTGCTGGACCTTCTGGCCGCTCTGACCAGCGCTGGAGGGGGCCGTGCGGCTGTGGGTGGGGCTCCTGCGTCCCAGGCCGGGGGCTGGAGCTGCAGCAGTGGCGGTTGAGGCCGATGGCGCAGTCTGGATGACCTGCTCAAGGGTGGGGCTCTTCCGCAAAAGATCCAGACTGGGGCTGGTGCGGCCTGGAGGAAACCAGGACAGTGATAATGGTGAGCGATACACATTGCTCACAATGAACTAAATCAGTCAGTCAGCAGCGACGCAGCATCAACAGCACCCAGACACAGGTCAGTCATGCTGTTTAAAAGTAAACCAACTGCATCAAGCAGGAGCTCAACCTTAGGATGATTTCACACCTGAGGTGTTCGGTTCAAATAAACTCGGCATGTTCTGTTAGCTAATGTACTCTTACTTTCACCATCACGAAGACGTGGCCATGCTCTGCAATGCAGTCATGACCTCTGCAACGCTCTGACATTTAGTAGACTTTTAAGCCAAACAAGCTTGATAAATAGTTTTATTCTGATGTTAGTAAATAAAATTCATATTACTTAAGTCCAAAATTTTACTTTCAGAGGTTTGATAGATACGAGTCCAAATGGTGCAGGAAGCAGTCCATAAAGACTTTGTCTGAAAATAAACCAAACTTGAGTTGAAAAACAACAACAGACAATTTTTTCTTGTTCCAGACCAAATGAACTGAACTACAGTGGTGAAAACACCTTGACATACGGGAGGCTCTCGGAGAGCGCTTTCAAATCAT